CGAGCGAGAGGTGGGAGTTGCTGAATGATGTCTCCAGCAGGACCGCTTCCTTGAAGTTACCAAGTCGTGTTTACTCTCGCAGTATAACATTGGTCGGTAGATTTTATTTTTTTGTTTTTTTAAGTTAGCGGTAAAATGATGCTTTCTTAAATATAATGATTACTACAGTATGTCCATGTAATTATTTTCTAAGCAAATCTTTTCGTTCTGATAGTGCCACTATTCTAGGGAAATGACGCTGGTCGTTAACCCCTTGGAATAAGGACGCAAGAAAAAAAATATATACATAATATTCCGTTGATATACTTTACATCGTATTACGTAACCCATTGACAAACGCATGGCAATTTTCACTGAATTTATGTTTTGTAGGTTTAGCCATATAAACCTTCATCATAGATCCGATATAGATGTAACATGATAGTGAATAAGACTGTAATGTCACTGAATGTAAATTTATCAATAGTTATCATGCATCCAGAAACATTACATTAAATATAGGCTAGGTTAAATTCAAAATAAGTTCTTATTCAGAGTTTGGATTACGTTAGGGTCTCTGTTTATTCTGTAGCACGTAGGCATAAAGACAATAGATTTTGTGGAGTTTTGGTCGTATTTGTAATAGAAATGATTTTTTTTTTTCAAAGAAGTTCACGTATACCAAAGTAAACATTCCTTTGATCGAGAAACAAGACAAATAAAAGATGTGGTGCCGCGAGTTCAGCCGCGTGTATTTCCGGTGACGTATCCTTGTTTACATTTGGTCATTTGTTCTCCCTCGTAAAAATATTTCGTACGGTATTTCATGTCATATTCATAAATATAGACTGTGAATATAAGAAGAATGAAAACAAACTGTTATCGACGTAGGAAAAAAAAAGAGAGAGAAAAAAAAACTGTCCTCACTACTCACTATACATGAAATCTTCCGTAAGAATAACATAAAAAAAATAAATAAAGGAAAGAAACAAGACATTACTCATATTTCCTTCATCGTCCATTGTTATCACTTTACTAACGTCACTAGTATTACGATATCCTGCTGGATTTTGGCAACGACCCGGTTAAGAACTACGGTGTCCCGGATGTAGAGTGAACTATGGCTTCTGTTGTTGAGGTTTAACATGCGAAGGTATTTGTGTGCCGAGTATTCCAATGAATGTTTCTTGGATGTATGAGTATTCGGGGAAACGTTTCTTGGATGGATGAATACTCGGGGAAACGTTTCTTGGATGGATGAGTACTCGGGGAAACGTTTCTTGGATGGATGAGTACTCGGGGAAACGTTTCTTGGATGGATGAGTACTCGGGGAAACGTTTCTTGGATGGATGAGTACTCGGGGAAACGTTTCTTGGATGGATGAGTACTCGGGGAAACGTTTCTTGGATGGATGAGTACTCGGGGAAACGTTTCTTGGATGAATATTCGGGAAATGTCTTTTGGAGTATTTGGAGTAATGTGTCTAGATGAATATTGGGGAAACATTTCTAGACGAGTCTTCGGGGAAACGTTTCTTGGATGAATATTCGGGGAAACGTTTCTAAATGAGAATTCGGTGGAACAGTTCCGGAAAAAAAATAATTGAGAAGTATTTGGAGAAACGTTTCCAAATGAGTATTCAGTTACCGATAAGTAGTTTTCCAACGACACAACTTTTACAAAGTGTGTGCTGAGTGTGTGTGTATCCCTGAAATGAATAAGATAATAACTTCTGTTATTTTTGTACGCATTTTCATCTAGGTTATCTCTGAGCCAAATCGCAGTATATTTGGGGATTTTCTCTGTAAATAGGCCTATATGAGGATGAAATATTAGAATTCCTGGTACCAAGCTCTGAATAAATAATAGTATAATGCAATTCAGATCAACTGCTTGTCAGTTTATCTTCCACGAGTATTTCTCTTTACTGAGCTTAGGAAAAAGATTTTGTTTGTAGTCAGTTATAATTCTATACATCATTTTACGGTATTTTTGATACGTAACTACCTCAAAGAAATAATGAGTTGTGCATTTGGTCAATCACTACATACCTGTGTTAGCTGTTCATGTTCGCCCTCCAAATAGTAAGTTCATATTTTACAAAACGAACATTGTACGTGGTAGCGTAGCATATCATTTGCGTATGGGAAATCCCCGGTTACTTTGACCCGCTCTGGTTTCACTTACAATGGCTATTAGTCAGTTCCTAAATGAGTCAAAGGATTCTGTCTTATTGGACAGTTTTATTCCGAACTGAATAGAACGACTTTGTTTTATCCGTATTTTGCTCTTACATAACACAGTCAGTAGTGGTGTGTAAGGGTGGCGTCCTTGAAGACTAGACACCGCGGGCAGGGGAAGAAGCGACCAGTGCGCGGTGTCTAAGTAGTGGCTCACCTTACAGAATACCTTTGTGGGCCTTTCAACATGTCTCTATATTCATATCTAAACACTGTAGGGTATGTTAGGTGAACTGAAAATATACAAGCATACGGAGGAAGGAGCGTAGAAGCGTTAATTCCTTTGCGTTAGGGAACTTCCTTACGTGGTATAAGGCACGTCGTGAATTATTTGTATTGATCCCTTGTCACTGGGCATGCATTACTTATAACGCAGGACATAAAGGCATACATTCTCTTCTCGATGATTGTCAATGCATAGCGTGACTACAACCATTGCTATTTATCTGCTAAATTATCAAAGTTCGGAAAATCGTTATATTTACCGCCATCTCGTAATTGGTGTTTCTTCCTAGTCTTGTAAGATTTTCCTTTTTTTCCTGGTGTGAAATAAAACAAAATTAGAACATTTCAAGACGAAAAAGAAATATTTATAAGCATAAGAGTAGGGAAAAGTCCCCTGTGATGTTGGTCGTTATCTGGAATACCCCACAGTGAGTATGCGTGCGTGTGTGTATATAGATGTGTGTGCTTCAATATCTGTATAAATGTTATGTTGTAAATAGAATATTTAGTGAATTCCCAAAAGAATAAATCAGCCCTACTTTAAATTTGAAGAACGACGAAATACTAAAGCTTAATGAGAGTGTGATAAAGACACCTGATGAGGATGAAAGAAGGGAGTAGAAAAGAATGGAATAATAGCTGAGACACTACCACAATAACGGTACTTGATCTCTACCAGTGCTACAACTAACTTCATTAAAGAAAAAAGAAAAAAAAAATCTCATCATCTATCATATAAACGTCTATCCCATCCCAACACACTTGATTGAATTTCATTATTATTGGGAGACAATTCCATATTATATTTCTTAAAGATCCTGTTGATGCTGCCCCTCCTACTCGACCAAACGTCGGTAGCCTCACTCGGGAAATCCAGGAAATATACCCTCACGCAGTCACAAACGCACACTTACACTCATGTACATCTCTTGCCACGTGTAGTGTGTCTGTCCTGGGTATTGTAAGTTGCCTTTTCGTGTGGAAGAAGAGGGACTCGGGTTTCAGCAAAGGGTGATTGTGTCCGGGGAAGGTGTTGAAGGTGTGTGTGTGTGTGTGTGTGTGTGTGTGTGTGTGTGTGTGTGTGTGTGTGTGTGTGTGTGTGTGTGTGTGTGTGTGTGTGTGTGTGTGTGTATACGCACGTGCGTGTGTGTGTGAGAGTATGTTTGTGCGTGCGTGCATGTATGCGTGTGGTCAACACAAGCAGGGAATTCAATAGAAAACTTGCAGGAAGAAAACAAAGATAGAATAGAAAGCAAAATATGTTGTCAAACTGCGATTTTCCAGGTAGAAGATATATTTTATCTCAGTGTTTGATAATTGCTCAGAAGACATACAGTAATGCGTAGTAATGTGCCATAATTCCCCTCAAATGAGAATCTGATCCTCCTATAATATGCAGCATTATTATTCTTCATTATACATCTGCTCAGTTGAATTGAGCAAAGAATCTATAAAGGCAAGATGTTACACAAACTACGCACATCGACAGGTCAACGCAGGTCCCGCGGGCAGAACCCTCTCCTCTCCCCTGGCCGATGTGAACGAACGAGGGAGGAGGCGACGGCAGGTCGTGGTGCGCGGGGCGTCGTCCTCAATACGCGCGATGGTTTTTGAATTTAGGTTCGTGGTTAATGATTGATTCGTGATGGTCTGAGAGCCGTAAAACACACACACACACATCTATATGTGTGTTTATGTGCATACACAAACACGTACATACAAACACATGTATCTAAATGTCTATTACACACACACATGCATAAAGATACCCGCTAATGAAGAAAAAAAGAACAACGAGTATAACAAGGACAACAAATAGCATAGTGGGAAAGTTTTACAAGTCGGTAACTACAACGGGTTTGGACGGGCGGCGTTTGAAGGTCACGTGGGACATTAAGGGGCCTTGGGGGGAGGGACAGGGACAGGGGGAGGGGAGGTAGGCTTATCATCTGACTTTTCTCATTTATAAGGCTGTTATAAGGTAGGAAGGTAAGGACAGGAGTCGTTTTGATATAACGGTGAGTTTTTTTTTTATTCAAAACAATGGTATTCAATCAACATACAATGTGAACGTTCCTTGCATTCAACTCTCGTTTGGATAAACCGGATAAAAGAACCTGCGTAGTATATCGTCAACTGTGTTTTACAGAAATTGTGTGCTAAGTCTGATCACACACTAAAACAATATACCAGAGACATATTATCTATTCCCTTTCTTCAGATTAAGATTCACAAAAAATGATAACGAAAACGATAAAATAACTAAGTGAAAAAATCGCAATCTATTTTTTCCCAGAACCCGATTATATTGCTCGGAGTGTTAAGAAAACGTGTCCTCTAAAACACTGTTACACTTCATCTCAGACACGCCGTCTAATCACGTTGAAGGCTGTAAAATATATCCCTCTGTTGTGTCATCTATACATAGAGCGCAATGTCAGAGGAACTATTGAGGTGTGTATTTCTTGTTATTTAGAGGCCAACAACTAAATAAAATTAGCATGGTCATCGTATTCTTCAGAGAGAGAGAGAGAGAGAGAGAGAGAGAGAGAGAG